CCATATATCTTCCTAACTTTCGCAAATGATGTGATCTCTTATATTCTATTTGTGACAGTTCGTGAATTTGGCCACCTAAAACTTCCGAATTTGACAAAATTAATGGTGGTTCAGAATCATTTAAAGGGTGCACAGTTTCATTGAGGAGCCTGAAGTCACTGTAGTTTAATTTTCACTTTTTAATTTGTTCCGTTTAGATCTATTCTTGGGAAAGTCCGTCTTCTAAGACGCCATGTAAACAAGTAAGGTTTCTGTTTTCTAGCAGTGCGCATTGGTCCCAAACCTTTGAAATTCTGGAGTGTACAACCACGAAAGCGGAATAGAGAATCAATCTATACATCTATTATATATTTGGCAACTTGGAAACACGCGTGTCACGTTTCTCTCAAGATGTAGATCTATTGCTCAATTCCTGTAGAGTGTAAATATAGTAGACCAATGACTTTCAGTTGATGTTAAGGCACCGATCATTTCTTTCATAGAAAGGGAGCCCAGCTAGTTTCCTAATAATATTCTAGAATTTTTACTGCTTTTACGACAACGAAAAAATATAAAGAGATTTTTTCATCCCACCTTGATTTCTTTTGAATTTGAAGTAAAGTAAACGTTTCTTTATGTTCAAATAATGCGTAACGGGTCACAAAATGGTGCATCGATTACGGAATGTTATCAAATTACAAAATAACGATATGATCAATTTGTGTACCTTCACGTTCCTCCTGATATCAATAAACAATGGGGGTAAAAACTACGTTTCATTATTTTATGCAGTTTGTTAAAACTATGAAAGAAAGGGAAGGGGAAAAAGAGGAGTGTCAACTACGTATTCTGAATCTACACTTTGATCGTTATTCATGACAACAAATCTACCGAGATGAGTTAAGAGACAACATCCATGTCTGTGTGTACCGTACCGAAAATTCTGTTTAAATTTGAAAAGCAGTGCTTAAGTGTGAAGGAAAATGTTTACCATGCCACCACCCCTAAAAAAATGGTTGTTAAGTTATTATGTGGCTCACCCTGGATTTTTTTAGCTTTTGCAGAAACTTTTTTAAAGCACCAAACCCGGGCGTCTTCAGGTATTGTTTGATTATCAGAATGTGCGTCCTAAATGGGTTAATGCTTGTAAAGTGCGCTTAATGAAATAAATATAACGTAAACAGGTAAATGATAAAGAACAGATAACACTTTATTGAAGCCTGTGAGGAAAATTTGGGTTACAATGGCAACATACATAAATGCATGATCAAACTCATAAATACATAATACTGCCCCAATGTTACAAATGTACAAATATTACATTGCTGGTCGCCAAAGTGCAGCAGCCTGTTTTTCAATAATTAATTATTTTATTTAGCTGGTGTTACTGTGTCTTACTCAAGGCCACACCGCAGTGATCACCCATCTAAACCCCGTGTCGGCGATACATGCTTTACATTGTTTTCGAGTCCGAGTCCGAGATAGAAATAAACACACTGTTCAGCATACTGTAGTATCCATTGTGATGCCTCACTCTCTTCAACACCATTTACTACACTGTTTAAATTCGGTTAATGAAAAGCTTTTTACAAAGCATAGTTATCTAAAGTTACTCCATGTGATTTTATTCCTGTGCATCACGCATCTGTGAAATTGATAGACATGAGGGTAAGCCCAGTTTGAAGCACACAATCTGAGAGAGCAATGAATAAATTATATAGCACATTGATTAATGGATGGATTGCAACTAATATAGGCATACGGATGCATAATATGTACACATGTTACAAAAGTACCCTCCCACAATCCTTTACTCCACCTCCCCCTCACATTTTCTCTCTCTCTCTCTCTCTCTCTCTCTCTCTCTCTCTCTCTCTCTCACACACACACACACACACACAAACACACACACACGCGCTATTAAATTAGATTATTTTATATATGTACAGGGAGAGAGAGAGAGAGAGAGAGAGAGAGAGAGAGAGAGAGAGAGAGAGACAAAGAGAGAATAAGAGTATTGATATGGAGATATAATCAGGCGCGAATCGCCTATTCATCACAGTCGTGCAGTGCTGTCAAACATATTTATCGTTTCATTGCGTAAAGTAACCACTAACAGAAAATAAAGAATAGGCAAAAAGAGTTATCCCATTCTTTCATCAATACAAAATCCTCACTGTCGCTTAAACAGCCATTTCTGTGTATGTAGCCCTGTAAGACCATCTGCGAGTAAATTTCCCCCTATTTTTACCCAGTTTGACCATGACATTTTTTTTCTCCATTTTTGAAACCTACATCCACTTCCCCAAAGTTTCAAGTGCCCGTTTCAATCAATTATGTTTAGAGGTCATGTAAAAATGGGTTTAAAAAATAATGTGCAAATTTGGGTCTTGTTTTAAAATATTTTCTTCCTTTTTTTCGAATATTTATTTTTCCGACTTTAAATTACGTCTCTTCCGTTATTTTTCATCTGACTTGATGGCTTCATTGCTTTACACAATGTGCGTCCATAGGTGACCTTTACTGAAATAATAAAGCCTTTTTTGAAGATAATAAGAGAATGAAGATTCAATCAGTTTTTTCGTTGTTGAGAATTTCGAGGTTTTTTGCTATGTGTCCATAGTACATATTTCCAGAGTCCATATTTGTTTTCATAATCGTAACATTACAAATCTGGCGTTATTTGTTCATTACATAGGTGTCGTAGTTTGTGCTTACTAAAAATGAAAGTCAACGGACAAAAAATAAGAGAGACGATAGCTTTTGAAATTTGATGAAATTATCCAATCCGGCGGACGTTTGCTTGGTTACCATGGTTATCATGTGCTTATGATAATAAATAGTTACTTGAATGTATTCTTTGATGTCTGACGATATGAATATATCATTGTTGCTATATTTAGTCAAGGGACATGGATTTTAGAAATTTCATCAGCAGATGGCCGCATTACACCTACCCAGCTATACCTAGGTTCACGTGCATCATCTACACAAATAGCATGTTTAGGGGGGGGTGGTAATCTGAAAAATGCGCCTTGGGCTGACACAAGAGATGACGACACTTCTCTACCTTAGAACTTCCAAGTTTCGTCTGACATTTTTGGCCGTTTTGAGTTACTAAAACCACGAGGTCAGATACCAAATATTCTATCAGCTCTATCAACATCGCAAGATTATTTGGAGTCGTCTGCTCTGTCAAAATCGTAAGATTATTTGGAGTCGTTTTCAAGATATTCAAAGACATGCTTTATATAAAATATTGACTTGATGTGAAACTCAAAATCATTGACGTCAAATTCCTCAAAACTAGGTACAGGGCAGATACAAATGTGTCCTCTGGTGTAGCGAAGTAGCAAGTTTAGGGGAATGTTAATCTAAAAAAAATGTTGATACAAGTGATGAAAACACTTGAAGAGAGCTTGGTGGTACATTGATATTAATAACAACACATTAATATTTCTAAAAGCACGATCTCAGATGTGTGACAGTTGAGCATTAACCTCCACAGTTAAAGTAAAGTTGTTCCCGCTTCCGATCCGGACTTTGGGGATTGCCTTGTTAGTGAGACAACTTCTTGGGCCTTCGGCATATTGTGGTAGGGTGGCCAGTTCCTTTCCACGCAGCCTCTACTTCCCCAACTCGAAGTTAGGCACCTATTACAGCTGGGTGGGCAGGAGGGGGCGAAAAAAATCCTTGTCCGAACCGAGGCTCGAACCCGGACTTTCCGCTTCGGAGAGGAGCGCTCTGACTGTTCCGCCACAGCACCGCACAGTAGGCAGTCTAAAAACAAGCGCAATCGCAGCTTGTTCACAATCGCCCTCGAGGGTCCACCAAACCAAAAACAAATCGCCGTTTAGGTCGCCCGTCTCTCGACAAATCGGTAATTGAAACACCGACCAACAAAAGACGGATCGGTTGGAATTTCCGATGCCGCATTTTTGCCGAACCGTGTGGTCGCTCATCAGAATTAGGCCCAGCCAGACAAAAAAAATTAATCTAATTTCAGTTGGGATAAAAACTCTGTTATACGTGTATTCGTTATCAACGCTTCATAATAAGCAAAATCTTTGGGCACACCTCACAGTTAACATGCATCTATCAACAATTTTACTTTAAAATAATGTAATTTCTTATTCCCGTCTTGTGCTCATTTGTACCAAGAAATAACATAGTGTCGTCAGAGCTAGCTACTCTCACTACTCTCACGTTGGTACCCACGCAATCCGGATACAAACAGACTGAATTGCCTCCCCACGACCGAACATTTTAAAAATCGTGTCATTTTATTTTTGGCTTGGTGAATTTTCTGTGGTTGTCAGGCTTCGAACCCGGAGCCTGTTGAATGAGAGGCCAACACTTTAACCTCTGAACCACGAGAGTCCCCCGTTTGTTGTCTTGCCCCTCAAGTCTAGCACAAGGTCCTTGGTCAAGCTTCGCCTCTGTGATCCTGAGCTGGAGCGAGTTCAGTGCAAAGACGTCATAATACTAATAACCTCTCTGGTTCAACGTGATAATATCAATAATAACATTTAACGCCGGTCACCGAGTTTATAGGTAGAGCTGGGCAAAGAATTGATTCCTAAACTGATTCCGGAAATTAGTGCTACAGTAGAAAAGTTCCGATACATGTAGTTCTTTTAACTTTTAACTTAAAACAACGGTTACCAAATATTTTTTTTAAAAGTTGGTAGCGCGCGATGTTCTGAAATTGAGGCTACCCTGAATCCTGAAGCCGGCAACTGGCTAAGAGTTGGACTAATCCGAAGTAGTTGCTACTCGTGGAAGTAACTGCAACTTGCAGAAAGTAATCATGTAATTTTCTTGGTGTAAGACTCAACGGAAGTACTTTTTACTAACCGGGAGTAACTGTTATTGTCTTGGAGTCCGAACCACCGGAAGAAATCATATTAGTAGAAAGTACTCGTAATTGGGTTCGAACTCTATTCCTACGATTCCTAGCTTTCAATAATTGGGAGCCTGAGATTGTCGAAAAAGACATAAATAAACGGAACCAACCAGGATTATGTAGTGTTTTTTAATGGTGTGTGGTAGTGAAACAGTTACCTTATTATGGGAGTGTGCTATTTTAATGGAAGAGGATCGTAAATATCTGTTTCAGATGTGGCATTTGGGGATGATGATGATGATGATGATGATGATGATGATGATGATGATGATGATGATGACGTACATACTATTTTATATTCATACCACTTCTGGGCATAGCCTTCAATTTTCTCTGTTCTTCCCGATTTGTTTTTATCGCACCTTTTGACATTATGACGTGTATGCCCGCACTTTTATTGCTATAGCTTGTAGTCAATAGATTTTCCATTATTTTTTTGTACATGTTCCTGAAGAAGCCTTTTACAGGGCGAAACTTTGAGCTTATATTAAATTTGAAAAAATCTGCTAAGTCTCAAACCCTTTTTTATTCCCTGCTACCTACAAAGACGATGATGATGATGATGATGATGATGATGATGATGATGATGATGATGATGATGATGATGATGATGATGATGAAGATGATGATGCGTTTCCTTCAACTTCGCATCAGTCATTCTCCAACCTACTGCGGAGCATTCTGTACTTTGAAAACATTAAGTTTGTCTTCGTGCATCGTCACAATCATCCCACGCTCCCCCACGGCCACTGACTTGAGGTTGAGCTCCTTTGTGTTCGAGCGCGTGATCACCTGCCTCGTGGGCCGGCCCTCTGCCGACATGGCAATAACGCTGTTGGTGTCTTTGTCCGCCACCAGGATCACCCCTTGCTTGTCCACCGAGATACCGAACGGCTTTTTGATGGCTAGGCCTGTGGACACTGGTGACAGATATCGGATGAGATTAGATAAGATGAGATACGATACGATGAGATGAAATGATATGATAAATATGAGATGATAAAGATGGGATGATATAGAGGAGATGAGACGAGAGGATATTATAAAAGATGAGATGATAATGATGAGATGATAAAGCGAGGATGATATGGTATGAGATAATGAAGATAAGATGGGACGATAAAGATGAAAAGATAAAAATGAAATGATGAGAAAATATAGAGAAGATGAGATGAGATGAGATTATGAAGATCAGATGGGATTATAAATATGAGGAGATGAAGAGGAGATGATAAAGATCAGATGAGATGATAAAGAAAAAAAATGAGATAATAAAGATGAGATGAGATGATAAAGATGAGATAATAAAAAAGATGAGATAATAAAATAGATAAGATGAGATGAAATGAAAAAGATTAAATGATAATGATGAGATAATAAAGATGAGAGAATAAATAGTGAGATGCGATAAGAGAAGATTAGAAGTGTTAGAAAGAGGTGTACGAGTTTTTCAGCACAATAAAGTCATATAAGTGCCGCAGATTAGAGGTGTTACAAGAGAGTAGCAAACACACAAAACAGAGAAGGAGGAGAGATAAAAACGAGAGATGTTTGATAGGAAAGAAGGAGCAAACTATACCAGAGCATCCGCCAACGACCCAGAGATAAAATAAGGTAATCTCAGATAAGGCAAAATGAGATGAGCTGAAATGGGGTGATATGAGATGGAATAGGGTGGGATGGGATGAAATAAGATAGGATAGGATGAGATGAGATTAGATAAGATGAAATGAGATGAGATGAAATGAGACGCGAGAAACATTTTTTATTGTCGTGATACTGGTACATAGGATAGAAGAATCATTTGCATTTTTTGTGCAGCGTAGCTCTTTGGCATATAACGGCGTTGTTGTTGTTGGTGTGTTGTTGGTGTGTTGTTGTTGCTGCTGATGTTGTTGTTGCTGATGTTGTTGTTGTTTTTGATGATGATGTTGTTTTTGTTGTTGTTGATGATGATAATGATGATGATGATGATGATGATGATGATGATGATGATGATGATGATGATGATGATGATGATGATGATGATGATGGAAATAGAAAGACATAAAAAGTTCTGCTTCATGTTACCCCCCCCCCCCCCCCCATGACACTCACAAACAAACCAACCGATTCATTTTTTTTTCCAAGCGCCTGATTTCATAACGATGTCTCGCATTAATACACTGGCCTTCGTGCATAACGTCATGACCATCACCATGTTGTGGTGATCAAAACGTAAAAATCTTTAGATTTTTATTTTCATTAAAAATATATTTTTAAACTTTTCTTTTCTTTTTATTTTCCTAAGAGGTAGACGGCTTACCGTCAGGACTGTAATTGAAGAGTACGACTCCGTTCTGTCTGAAACAGACGCAGGTCGAGATTGTGGGATCCGAGACCAGGATGTCTCTGCTGGGCGTGGTACACATGTACATCGGGTTGGCCAATAGGTGACTTCCTGTGTGGGTCGGGGTTTTTATGAGGTGAGAGACAAATAGATTGTTTTGTTTGAGCACAGAGACGTTCATCATTTTGCGAAATTAGAATTACAAAGTTCTATCTGACATTTTCGGCCCTTTTGAGCTACTAAAATCGTGAGATCAGAAACCAACTGTTCTATCTCCTCTATCAAAATCGTTAGATTATTCGGAGTCATTATCAAAATCTTCAAAGAATTGCATTTCAAAAAGGTTGACATGTTGTGAAACTCAAAATTTTGATCGTCAAATGTCTCAAAACTAGACACATGTACTGAAAAGATAGAACTTTGTACGTAATTTTAAGGTAGGAATTCGGTGCTTTTTAGCACAAGGAGGAACATTAACAGGTTATCACAATTTAGTGCCTTTGAGTGCACAGAAGTACATCAACAGTTTTACCAACATTTAGTGTGTGTGGGTGCAAAGAAAATTAATAATTTAGTACATAGGCTGTGGTGTCAGATTATGATTTATCCTACGAGTGAAATTGCCAAGTTGTAATTACGAGTTTCAACGAGTGATTACAACTGGCAATTTCACAAGTAGGATATTAAATCATGTTCTAACACCATCACGAGTGTAATGATTTTCTTATACCATACTGACATCAGCTGGCGAAATAGCTGCGGGCCCACAAAGTTCAAATGAACAATCAACTGAACAAGAGGATCATTTGAAGAGTCTCACATGAAAACAAAAACAAAATGTTCATGCCCGCCGGAGTCAGAGTGAGGATTGGAAAGAAATGTGGATTGTTTTCCTTTGTTTTTAGCCGTGCGAATTTACATGTTGGACTATCATTCTTCCGCATAATAAACCCCAAACAAAACAATAATAACGTACGCTTAGAAAAAAGCAGGCAGAAAACTAAAGATTCAAAAGTTGAAAAATTAAGAACTTGCATTAATTATTTTATGACATGTTGTTGTGAGAATAGAGGTGACTTTGATTCCAAACTTTGCAACCAAATCAAAACAAGGCGGAGAGTCGTTCGCTAACATAGACTTGCTAGCACTGCAATGCAATACAGTGCGGCACTCTGAGGTAGAGACATAATCCCGGTTCACTATGGTGTGCACCATTTGACTCAATGTGGAAGCATCGTAGAGAGTTGCGTGTACTCTCTACAGTAGGGACACTGGTAGACTAGTGTTTCGCACTTCACTTGGTGAGCACGCTTTGCAGCGAAGTTTTTTACAGAAGGCAAAGAGCGGCTGCCATAACATTGCACGGTTTAGGAACGTTATGATTGAAGTCTATACTTTGCTTACAGAATTTTAGAAGGCGAAAATAGTGCGCGGAGTAACTTATGAGAATTTTTATATTACACGTGAGAACACGTGTGAAATATCAGTTTATATTTCACGTGTGAAATATAAGGATTTATTTTACGGGAAGTGCAATGCTAGGACAGCTCCAAGTATGGTATGAAAACACATCTACACAATTACCAACATTTACTGTGAATACATCTACACAATTACCTTTATTTAACGCTAGGAAAAGATAAGACTGGGGAAGTAAAAAGTAAAAGCTACCAGTGGCATTCTTCAGCCATTGCTGTGTGCGTGCGTGTGTATGTGTGTGTTTGTATGTGTGTGTGTGTGTGTGTGTGTGAGAGAGAGAGAAAGAGAGAGAGAGAGAGAGAGA